ATATGAAAAATTAAGTAGTTCTTATATTTTTTTTAACTATATATTACCTCATTTATTATTTTTTTAGAAAATAATTCATTAGAGTTTTAATTGTTATTACAAAGACCACTTATATTGGGCATTCAATTAGGGTATGATGGAAATGAATACATTTGTTTAATTGAAACCTAAATTTTCTTTAAAAAAACCTTAATCTTTTTTTTTTAATTACGGTCAAGTAGCTAGCTGTCATCTTATGTTCTTGGAGGAATTGCAAAACTTGAGAGGTTTCCTAGAGACAAAAGTCCTAAAATTTTCAATTTTCCAAAAGCAATCTCATCTTCTCTGTCTTCTCTTCTTCTCCGGTACCGTGTAATTTCCACCATCATCGCAAAGTTTTGCATGGCTTCCCGGCTAATTGTAAAAAATAAGCAAGTAATAATTGAAGTTTTAAATTTTCCATGAGCCAAAAGTAATAATCAAAGTCTTGAGCATCATCAAAGTAAAGAATACTCGAAACTTTAATTTTTAATAATTGTGCATTGAAATTTCTAAAATATTTTGGGAAACTTTGAGCATGAAAATATAAGGAAAGAAAAAAAAAATCATATGTAAAAGTCGAAACAAAATGCTGAAATAACTAAATACAACAACCAAAAATTATTCTGAATCACCTCTGTGTGATAACCTATTTCCTTAATTTGGTATATGTTTTCCTATAAAGTATTAGATGTTCTTTTATAATTAGTTGAGAAGAACATTCGATAAGGTGAAGCATACATTGTGATTGCTTTTAGACTCAGCCTCTACTGGATTGAAGAAGAGCTAAATAAATGTGCTCACTCCGGGGCAAAAAAAAAAAAAAAAAAAAGGGAGAAGGTAAATGTGGGACCCATCGTGGACTCCACAATCGTGCAGTGACACCCTTTGGTCCTCATCATCGCAGTAGCGATACATCAGAGGGCAGCGAGCTGTATCAAGAAGAGATCTTCTTCTGGTGGGCCTCCAATCTCATTCTTTAGGTCAGCCGTGTGGGAGTTCTCACGGTTTGACTTAAATTTTCTTTTGAAAAGTTGTTGCTCTCAATTAAATTGTAGGGAGGCAAAAACAATAAACATTTACTAGTGCATTTAAAGATTGACGGTTGCCTCCTAATTATATATTGAAAAACAATTTTAAAAAATTAAAAAGTATTAACACGTCAATTGAAAATGAAATGATAAATAAACGGGTTTTGTAAATGAAGTGATAGCCAACAATATCAAATACAATAAATAATGTTAAATTCTGTGTACGTGCATGAATTGCACAATCATATCACCTGTAAAATTATGCATGAACCATGTCATATATAATGTTAAATTCAATAATTCTGCCTCCCTTGTTTATGAGGTAATAAATTATCAATATACAATTCACGTGTACAATAAAAAATAAATATATGACAAGTGTTACGACCTAGCATGTGGCCATAAGATCAATAGAACGCATTAACATTGAAAATATAAGAAATTTATAATACCACATATGATAAAAAACATAACAAATTTTACAACATTAATTAATATATGTAAATTAAACCATATATTGACGAAAGAAATTCAGGTTTGGATATATCCCTTCCACTCTCCTAATATTTGGCATTAATAACAGAGAGAAAAAAAATAAGCTGAAAAGAATCAAAATCAGGAATTAAAAAATATAAAGGAAGAGAATTACAAACAAAGCCAACCCAAGATAAGAATCACTCCTAGATCTATTGACAACTAAGTTTAGGAGAATGACAATACTCATGCCTATAAACTTAGTTGTTAATGGACCTGTGAGTAATTAATTATTGTGAGTATAACATTAAAGTAATTTTTCTTAAAATAAATACCGGTACCAGTAATTACAAAAAAAAAATCATCAAATCAACACCAAAAAAATCTAAGGGAAGCAAAACCTATGAACCAAGCCAAAAAACTCTAGAAATGAAATCAACTTTTATTTTTGAAAATGAAAAGTGAAAAAAACGTACAGCATATATCCCAACAAAAATGTGAAATCCTTTTCTTTGAGAAATTAAAGCTCACACCACCAAGCCTAAAATCCCAATGAGAAATTTCAAAAAAAATCCAATAAAAAAGAGAAGAACTTGTAATCCCGCATGCATGCAATGAAAATGTAGAAAAACTCACAAAAAAATTAGAGCTTGTAATATGGGCCAGCTTGTAGTTGTGGGTTGGCCTATGGCAAGTTGCGAGTTTGACGGTGTGGGCTAGCATAACCCTCACCCAGGCAAATTGTATTTCTGCCAACCCAACCCACTAGTAAAACAAATTTTTTTATATTTTTTTAATTTTAAAAATTATAAATTTACTTTTTTTTCATTATTTTTGTGACGACAAAAAACATCATGTTAAACTACCCTGAAAAATACTACCCTAAAATATGTAGCTTTTTATCTTTGGCCACTCAATGCAAAAAAAAAGTTTGGTCAAACGTTAAATATTAATTTTGCTGATTTCAAAAGGTGCTTATTAAGCCATATACATAAATTTTATTTATTTATTTTCTTTTTGATTAACAATAACAGCAGGGTTGAGCTTCTTTTTTCCCCACTTTAATGTACAGCGAGACAATTTTTTGAATCGATAAAAGCCACTCCCTCCGTTCAAAAATATAAGACATTTTTTGAAGAGTTGGATGTTAAAAAATGTAAGGCATTTTTAATCTTTTCAAATGTAATCATTATCTTTTTTTTTTTAAAGTGTCCCTATTGATAATAATTTTATATTTATTGTAGGGTGTTTAACAAGAATAAATATAAAAAGATAGGGTTAGTTGAAAAGTAGGTAATTACTTTATTGAAGAGTGACATTCGATTAAAAATGCCTTATATTTTTTTTAAGGGGGAGTATATTATTAGAAAAACAGTGAGTGCTGAATCTCATTCTCTAGTTTGTAACATGGAAATAGAAAAACATGTCATAGTCCAAAAAAATAAAAATGACCGATCCGAGGAAACAAACGTATTAACAAAAAAATATCTAAAAATTTAAAATGAGTAGAAAGAAACATACCTAAACTACATTGTAAAGTACCTAGATACCCCACCATCTACAGCGCATGCATGATATTATGTGGAGAAGATCAAGTAAACATTTAAATTAAGTTACTACTCTGTTTTCAAATAAAAAAAATGTCATACAGTTCTTTGTTTTTATTTATAAGCAGATTACATATTTCAAAAGGCATTTATCACATTTTTTCCAATTGTCTATCATAAAATTAATGTTTATTTTTACTAGACAATTTTGTTTCATCTCCCTACTCATTCCATTTTATTTTGTAACCTATATATAGAACTATTAAACTCTGATTCTAACAAAATTCCAGCAAAAGACCTCATTGAAGAGATAGAAAGATTAGCATCAGGTTATTCACCCAAAAAAAAAACAAAGAAAAGAAAAAACAAAGAAAGAAAGATTAGCATCAGGTTGTTGGGTAGCGTGTTTTGGGGCCAGGCCCTTCTATCAACAGTTACATTGGGTTCATGGGTTGCAAATTCAGGCCCAATGAGTTTTTTTTTTTAATTTTTTATGTTAATGGGAGAAAAGAACATTGAATCATATTTACAAGTTGTTGATTCAGGTTAAAATAGTTAGCAAAATTGGGGAAAGATTTGTCTGCTTGCTCAAAAAACTGTTAATCTCTGAATATGAAATTAATGTATAATTATATCATAAATATTAATGGATAATATTCTATAAGAAAGCTTATTTAATGCATTTGACCTCTGAATTATATATCAAAGCTATATTTCTGACATGTATGGGTTTTGATATTGTCACGTTGTAACGTTAATTGATTTTTTTGTCTGAATATTTAAATTTTAAATGAATGTTTAGTGATGGGAGACACTTTTGTCCATTGAAAAATTGAGAAATTCAAACTAATCATAGGATTGAAACAAGATGGAAAGGTTGTTATAATGGATCTAAAACACTATCAATGAGTTTAACAAACATGATTGTGTTAAGTTTAACAAGCATTTTTTTTTCATGATAAATTTTTATCTAGAGATACATGACATTTCACATCTAAGAAATTCATTTTTGTTTCATAATTCATCCCCTTCCTTATTCCATTTTATTTTGTAAGCTATAAATAGAACTATTAGACTCTGCTTCCACCAAATTTCCAGCAAAGGATCCATAAAAGAAATGGAAACACATAGCTATATTGGGTTCATGGGTTAGTTATTCAGGCCCAAAGATTGTGGGAGAAAAGAAAATAAAGTCTTGTTCACAAGTTGATTTAGGTTAGTTCATAAAATTGGGAAAAGATTTGTCCGCTTGCTCAAAAATGGTTAATGTCTAAATGTGCAATTAATAATATCATTAATATTAATGGATAAAATTTTATAAAAAAGCGTAGTTAATTTGATGCATTTAATTTATGAATTATATATTATTAAATTGATATTTCTGGCATGAAATGGGCTTTGATTTGATCATTTTATAACTTCAATTTTTTTATTTGAAAAGTTTAAATGAATGTTGATGCAAGATACTATTGTTGATTGAAAATTTAAAATAATTTAGCTTAGTCATATTTGAAACAAGATGAAATGGTTTTTATAACGAATCCAACAACACTATCAATGAATTTAACTAACATGGTTGCATTGGTTATATCTAGCAAAAGGAAAATCTCTCCCAATGAAGTAAACAAAGGTTTGAATATCTCTTAGTATCCACATAAGAAATTGATTGTATTAGCCCTAATAAATCAACAAGTTTAATAATGCATCTACTTGTCATTTGGATAATGGAAACTTTGTTGCATCTCTCTTTCAATTAATTCCTTGTTTGCCTCTGTTCTATGAAACTAACAACAGAGCTAAACCTAGAAAAATATCACAAGACTCGTGCTCGTAGGTGTATAAAGCAAATGATGCATGATCAGTGAAGTGATCAAGAGAAGATGTCATCCATGAACTCTCTCATACGAAAATATCTTAAAATGCACACACATTCTCATACGACAAATGTTCATTTCCAAAGCAGAGTCACTCAAACAATTGGTCCAAAGTTCCTTCTGATTCAAATATAAAGGTCACCACCTCATATTGGAATTCAATGAAGTTTTCATGTCTAAACATTTTACAACTTAATCTGCAAAGGAGACACCACACACAAACTTAGCCTTCAATTTCTACATCATCAACCCAAGGAAAACGACATGGACGGTTCCAATCTCCCTCAACCTGCATAATTTCAAAGAATAATAATATATACAAATTAGAAAGTTTATTTTGAGTTATTATTTCTTCTCTATCTAATCAACACTACAGTAGCTAGTATCACTTACTACTTACTTTAAAGCGTTGTGACTGAGGAGCAGAACCAAAATAAGCTTGTCTTGTGAAACATGATTTCCTGAAACAATAAACACATAAATTAAACAAAGTAAGCAACACAACTCCCTAGTCTTTTCAATTTTCATCCCAAATATCTTCTATTATATACGTTATAACTCTGTGCGTGGATGTAGTCAACTATGTTACATTATAGCCCCACATTGAACTAATAAACGATGTTAAGTTTTGCTCCAATCATAGAAACAAAGGGACATTTAATAGGTCACTTTAAGATTGAAGGCAATAGAAAGAGATCTAGAGAGAGAGAGTATAAACAACTATCAGCGTAAATATGGCTATTAATGATTATGTATTACTAAAGTAGAAGCAGGTATTAATTATATACCTGCCAATAGCACTGCAAAATTTCTCATTTATATTAACTCAGCAGGCTGCCTTCTTAAAGGCCTTCTCCATCATGGCTCTAAGATTCTTATCCCCAAAACATCGAATAGTCACATTATCCAGTGCATATATATCAGCATGAGAGAAAACCTTCATCCGGGAGCAACCGTATATTGAAACTTGTTCCAAGGATGGGAATTTCAAATTGTAAGTCCCCGGGTAAAAGCTATCTAGTCTTGGCAGAAGTTCGAGATCCAACTCTTTGAGATTCTCAAATGCTATATCATCTTGATCCGATTCATCTCCTTTAGCCACTATTTCTTGGATCGATTCACAATTCTTTACAGACAACTTTGAGAGTAAAGATAAACTTTTTGCAGTCGAAGATGTGAACAAATATACCAATCCATCACACTTCCTTATAGTCAGACCCTTTAGACTTGTGAAAGACACAGTAGAGGGTGCCAAGTTCATTAAGCAAGGACAATCCTGCACTATCATGGTTTCCAAGTTTCCCAGTAGTGGGGCGTGCTCTAACCCAATGGAATTAAGCTTTGAAAGAGAAATCAATTTTAAGGCTTTTAGTTGTGAAAAGAACACATCAAAAAAGCCATCCAGATCAGATCTCTGAGTGGTGCATATCTCTTTGAAGTTACTATGAGACAATCTAAGCTCTTCTAAATGGGGCATTGATTCCTTCAGGAAGAATCTATCTGGAAATTCATTTGAATCATCATTAAAGAATTTCAATTTGAGAAATTTCACTCCTTTAAGAAGCTTTTCCTGGAGCAGGGCTTGCCAAATCTGCATGATGTGTTTCTTGCTGAGTGACAATTGCTTTAGGTTGGGAAGAACCTAGAATCAACAAAATCATTTTTAGAAAATGGCAATAATAAAGGGTAAATTAAAAATATTTAACACCTCAAAATAAGACTTTGCAGTGTAGTTGTAATCTAAAATGCTTGTATTAAGGTGATTGATGTAAATCATGATTATTGAAGATATTTTAAAAATGTGATAATAGCAAAATTACCTTTTCTAATGTGATAGTGGCTTCGGTATCTTTTGCAAAGTGATCCTGACCTAATGGTGGAAAATTCTTCAGCTGACCACAACGGTAGACAACTAATTTTTCTAGCTTAGGCCATTCCAAATTGTCAACTGTTGGGTGGATGCACTTGAGCTCTGGCAATGTATGGAGCTTCAGCATTGTTAAGCCAGCAAAGATAATTGAGTTTGAAGTTGCTACTCCTGAGATTGTTTCATACCAGGCAACAATTTCTACTAACTGTTCACAGTTTTTCACTTTTAGTTCTTGGAGGCTTTCGAGTTTGCCTTGGGGCAACATGGGGCTCAAATCGAATATGGCCTTGGCAGCATTACAATCTCGTACTGTTAAATATTTCAAGTTACAGAGGAAGGGAACCAATTGAGAGGGAATCACGTGTGTCAAAGATTGGCAACCATGCACTGTCAGATTCGTCAAGTTACAGAAGCCTCTATTCGGAACAGGCACAACACGCTGCCATATTTCCAGTAGCTCTGGGTGATCACAAAGCTCCAAACATGATATATCTTGTGCACAGTTTGCATGCTGCACAAGCAAAACAATTGAAGCAGTCGAAGTCGACTATTAGTGTATATGATTTCTATGAGGTCCGTTTTGGACATCAACAAATAGCAACAAGACATGAGTGAGATGAGATTCCTTTCTGAGAACTCGAATGACTTGAATAATTATATAATGACTTGAATCATTATATTTTCTCCTTTTTTTAAAAAAAATATATAATTCAGATTAAGGGGGGAAAATAAAGATAAGATTGAAAAGGAAGGTTTCTCTTTGCCAAAAAGGACGGAGTTCTTGAGATTTCCGTCACTTTTTATTTATTTTATCTTTTCGCGTGATCTCTTTAATTTCTTATTTTAAAATCAATTCATGATTATTTTTTTAATTTTTAAAGAACCACATATAATGTTTAAAAGAAAAAGAAAGGCTTATGTACTTATCCTTTTATGAGGTCAAAAAATGTACTTATCCTTGTATATTTAATATAAATAATTCATATGCTTTGGTTTAATTATTGGAAACAAATACCTTAAATTTAAAAAGTTAAGTATATAAGTTTTTTTCTTAAATAAAAACCTAATTATATGACAAAAAATGAATATTTTATGAAAAATCAATAATCTCTTTATCTCCACCTATAATAAGCTTGGCACAACGTAGGTTTGGTTGTAGCCTTGTAGGATTTGCTGGACAAAAAATACATAATTATTGTTTCACATATATATGTCAAAAAAAAATAGTGACTGTGAAGTATTATTTTACTTTGAAAGAAATTCGTGTAACTAAGTAATTCCTTCATAATATTTTATCCTAAATATAAACATACTCTCAAATGGTTAATGTTATTGCTAACTAAAATGATTTGATAAATTCGGCCAAAAAAATGATTTGATGAAAGGAAAATCCACATCCCTTCTACAATAGCTTAATCACAGAAATCTTCATTCTATTTTTAAAATCATTATAAACCTCTCTCAAATCAAAAGTAGCAAGACACAATCCTTCCCTTACTTTTAAAATTGCACTTTCATCCAACCAACCAATTATTGACAGTTAAATCACATCTTTTCGATCAAAATATCATAGTTTAAAAATCATTTATGTTATAAAAAAAACAATCCTTAGGAAGATAGTTTTAACTTCTACTAACCATTTTTAGATTATTTAGATAAGCAAACTTGTTTATTTAGTAAATTTTTAAATTTTAAATTCATAAGTCGGATAAAATAATATTTCAAACAACCTAAGTATGTGAAAAAATTAATGAAAGGAGAATTTAATCTAAGAAAAGATAAATTAGTTGATACCATATATGTTGATTTTATTTTAAATTAGGGTGAGTGAACAATTATATTATGAGGTCAGAATAATAAATTAAAATATTTAACATAATGTTATTAACAATATTAAAATTTACACTAAAGTGTAAATAAAAAAATGCAGAGAGGAAATGTCTGTAATTTTAAAAATAAATAATTCATTAATTTCCCTCAATGTATGAACTTGGCCCAATGTAGACACGGTTGAAAGCTTGCTTCACAAAGCAACTTAGTATTATCTTACCAACAAGAGTTGGCCCAATTGGTAAGCGATTCGGTTCCGTTTAAGGTCTTGAGTTTGAGCCTTGTGTATGCAGAAAATTTTCGCTAGGAGACTCACCCACTAAAGCTCCGGTGAACCGGGTGGGCAACCAAAAAAAAAAAAAATTAGTATTATCTTTGGAAGATATGTGTTTGCAAAAAGAAAGTGTTAACAAGCAAATAAGACCTTAAACTCTTGCTCGAAAATCACCCTAGATCCTGAACTCTTAAAATATGCAAAATAAACTTTAAACTTTTAAATTCATAGCAAAATAAATCCTGATCGCTAATTTTTTTTAACATCATTACTGTCTACACGGATACTGTAATAGTCAGGGTTAACCACGTGGACAGTAACAGTGTTTAAAAGATAACGCTTATGGTTTATTTTGCTATGAATCTAAAAATTTAGAATTTATTTTGCATATTTTAAGCGTTCAGGGTTCAGGATAATTTTCAAGCAATAGTTCAGGGTCTTATTTGTTCATTAACCTAAAAAAAAAAAGCTTGTTACTATCAAATATTATTCAGCTTTGAAATAAAGTCTTATAATTATCAATTGTTCATCTTTGAATAATGATACATTAGGATCTTATATAATACTTCTCTGAGTTTCATTAGAATTATAATTGAAAATAGTAAATAATTAAAATTTCTTCAATATTGTGGAGCAAAATATCAACCAATTGTCACTTCTCCACTATTGTCTCCCAACTTTCATTGAGATTTAAATGAATATTACACTTGACAAAAAAAAATATTACACAATTTCCCCATTTTCATTTTTAACGTAAAAATTAATCTTTCCTTTATAAGAAAATTTAAATATTCATAAGTCTCAGCTTAATTAAATTTATTTTAACATAAATCTCTATAAATTTACAAAGTAATTACCTTTAATTTAGTTTTAACTTTCATAAATTTTAATTAATTTCAACAATTATATGTAATGTTCATAACCAATATTAGCATTGCACTAACTCAGATAATAGAGGGATGTAAGAAGTCAAGGCTCAAGCCCACCCAATGCATCAACAACTATATGTAATTTTCACCTTTACATCTTATTGAAAGAACAAGCTTCAAATTTATAGTTCATTTAAAGCAAAAACAAAACAAATAAAACAGGTTGTTCTTTCCACCCAAACGTAGGCCGAATTGTCACACAAGATAGATGAGAGAAACTCCAAAAGAAGTTTCCTCTTTTTAATTTTCTTATGTTTTAAATATTGTTCATCTTTTTTTATATCAATTTAATATTTTGTTTTGTTATCTAAGAATATCCAAATCTAATAAGAAGCTAGAACTAATAGCTCTGAAAATAAAAATAAATGTGATTTGTATGTTAATGTGCATCCTGGCTAGTCAATGTTCTGATACTTGAAAACAATATATATATATATATATATATATGTTATTTTAAAGAATAATTTTTAAATTTCCATCCAATCTATAAGCTTGTCCTAAACTTCGGCTCGATTGTATGATTGTTTTGAAGCAATTTCATATTATCTTTGCTGATATTTAAAAAAAAAATAGTTATGATACGCATTATTGGAAAAAATGGAGGTTGCCGAACTTATGTAGTACTCAAGTACTGTTTGTTTGCCAATCAAACTAAGATGCGAGTTCTTTTATCTGTTCCCTCAAACAAACTCGTTATTAGAATGTAATTTACCGTAACAAAGTCAACTAAAAATTATAAAGTGTTTTATATTGTGCGACATATTAAAAAAATTAATTATTGACACCTTAAATTTATATAAAAGGATTTGGGAAACAAAGGTAGTATTTCTGCCAAATGCATAGCAACAAAAAAGGATAAAAGAAAAGAGAAAACACTTGCCTGTGAGGAAAAGAGCAATTTTATGTGGCCATTTAGATCAGGGCCGCAATATTCTGGACCATAACTTGTGTTTTGGGAAGGCTTTGCCGATACTCGTAAATGTCGAGATGCATTTATGGATCCGCAAGAGAAAATTCTCATTCTAGGGCATTCATCAACAGTCACAAGTTTCAAACATGGGAAGTTCAGTGTAGAATTCCCTGAGTGAAAGCTTCCAAGTCTTTGGAGAGAGTCCAAAAACAATACTATGAGCTTCCCAAATGTTAACTCATCTTCATCAGATCCATCATCTTTTTTAGGCACTATTTCTTGTATTGATCCACATTTGCCAATGACAAGCTCTTCAAGTAAAACTAAACTCCTTGCAGTTGACAATGTGAACAAGCAGACCAATCCTTGACGTCCATATACAAACAATTGCCTTAATTTCGAAAAAGATAAAGCAGACGGCACCGTGTTCCTCAAACAAGGACATCTCACCACCCGCAAGGTTTCTAAGTTTTCAAGAATTGGGGAAACCCAGGACTGGTCTAACCCAATGGATTCAAGACACTGCAAAGACATCAGTTCCAATCCCTTGAGTTGTGGAAACAACATTCCCAAATCAAAATCTATATCACGTCTCTGAGAGCTGAAAATATCTTTGAAGTTACTACAAGCCACTCGAAGATTTTCTAAATTGGGAAGTAATTCCTTTCGGAAAAATTGATATGGAAATCCATCTGAATAATCATGGAAGCATTGCAACACGAGAGATTTCACTTTGCGAAGGAAGTTTGCCTGAAACGGTGCCTGACAATTAATCCTCATGATGTCTTCCTTGTCAAGTGGCAATTGTTCTATGTTGGGAAAACCCTAGGAACAACCAAATTATCATTAGGCTAGAAGGAAAACAATAAATGGTTCTATTACAGAGATTTTCTTATATTTATCAATCACACGAACAATATTTATGGATCAATAAAATTATTATTAGAGTCCTAAAAGCTAACAAGAAGATTCATTTCAGTCATTTCCTCTTATCAGTTCCCTTGGAATATCTCTTCTTAGCATATTTTAATCAAGCGTGTACTATATATGTTCGACGTGTTTCAAATGAAGCACATCCTTTTCAAGTTGATATAAAATTTAAAGTATACTAAAGTGGAAAACATTGAGGAGATTATATATGCATATGCGCATTCAGGAGTTAACATGACAATGAGAAAAGTAATGCCTTGGACAATGGCTTTGAGGGAAAAATAAAAAAGTAGTTGAGTATAAAACCTTTTCAAATGGAACAATGGCATCCCCATCACTTGGATGATCCTGATCCTCAGTCGGGAAAATCTTCAATTGATCGCAGTGATGCACATCTAATACTTTTAACATTGGCCATTCCAATTTGTTTAGCCATGGACATGTGCATTTGAGCTTTGGCAAACTAAATAGCTCCAAACTTGTTAAGCTGGGAAAGATACCATAGTAGGTAGTTGCTCCACCTAACATTGTTTCATCCCATGCAACAATTTCAACTAACCCCTTACACCATCGCACTTCTAGTATTTCAAGCCTCCCAAGTTTGCCATGGGCCATGGACGCTGGAAACAAGCTCTTGAGGCTGCTGCACCCATTAACATGTAATTGTTGTAGCGATTGGAAGCTGAGAAATTCTTGAGGGTCCTCATTCCAAACATGCTCCAGATCAGGGAGCTGTTCCAAGGTCAATGTTTTCAAGGGAATGGAGAAGAAGGAAGACAAAGATCCCACTTCAAATATTGCCTTTACTGAGCCACAATTCCGTACTTGTAAATCTTCCAAGTTACAAATCAAGCCAAGCAAATGAAAAGGGATCACATTTTTTGATAAGAAATGACAACCATCCACTATCAAAGTCTTCAACTTACTGAACCCTCCATCAGGGACTGGTGTTTCACGTTGCCATATCTCTTGCAGCCCAGGGTAATCTCCAAGCTCCAAATTTTGCACATCACGTAGTGCAACCTGCCCAAGCAAAACAGTTCATACATCCAGACAATTACTTATTGGTTCGTTGAGTTTTATTATGTGCAAATTGAAGATAAATGTGATTCATTGTGGTGGGGGAATTTAGGTACTTGTTCACGCTTTTCGCTTTGGACGTGAGATTTAGCAGAATATTACTTCATCAGCGCCCCTCTTCAACTATATTATTACAAATTAAACTTTAAGCCACAACAAAACAAAAATACATTTCAACTTAAATGCATTTTAACAAGAATATCATTAAGCATATAATGGAAGGTAACAGTAATCCACAACAAAACAAATATCATTTTAGCAGCAGTAATTATTTTTCCTTTAATAAAATTTAATTTAAAAAATATATAACAGTTTTTATACGTAACGGTAATTTCAAACAAAATATGCATTAGCATTTAGCATTATGATATTGTAATTTTAACAAAACTTTTGAAATCGACAGGATTTTTTTTTTTTGACACAAAATATGTTTTGTCCATTTTCAAGACAAATTTGTTTCAAATATATTACTAAGCCATCCGACTGCACTTGCAGTAGAACAGCACGTAATGCAAAACCGAATATTTGCTCTTAGAAAGTAGAATCAACAAACACAATGGAAGTTAGAAACCATTTGGAGGGAGGCTAGAATTAGAATCAACAAATTCAAATTACAGCATGCCCCATGTCAAAGTGCAAGTATCGAGGAATGATATTGCAAAATAACTGAGAAATTGATGGATATGTTATGTATAAGATGCAAGTTGGCGGATATATATATATATATGCGAGGGCGGAAGGAATCAGGACTTATTTGATTGTAAAATACTTACGAATTTCATAGGGAGACTTTATCAAATTGCTATAAAACATGTTGTTTCTAATGTTTAATTTGTATGGGATAATAAATTTCAGAATAAGATATCTTGTTTAAGTTTTTAATATGCTTGGAGATAAAAAAAAAAGGGTAAAACTTATAATCTTATATAATTAACATACTCCTGTTATATTAAAGCAAGACGAGTGTATTTTAATTTATTAATAAAATCATTAACAAAAATTATTTATAGAATCTTAAAAGTATATTAGTTTTTCCTATACAAAAATTATTATCTAAATTTTATAATAATATTATAAACATTTTTTGTTTGGAACTTCATATATTTTTTATTTATTTAGTTTCTAAATTGGCTCTTAAGTTTTAATAACTTATAATACACGGGGTGCATGGGTTAGTAAATTCTGTAATAAAATATACATTTAAGTTTTTCATATACACAAGGATAACGAATTGTAAAATTTTAATTTATGTGAATAAAATATTTAAGAATAAATTAAAGTGTTGTTTATATTTTCAATATGGATTATGATATATATAAGTAACCCTAAAATAAAACAAGCTGTTTGTTTTATTGGCATCCATCGTGTGAGGTAATTTGTGTTAAAATAATACAAGGTTTTATTTATCTTCTTAACGTGTATGGAGAAACAAATTCTAAATTAAATCAATTTGTTTATGCAATATATGGAAGAAAAACATTTAAAACAAAATATGCGTTTTAGATTTTTAATCACGTATATAACGATTTATACAATTTAGAGAATAAAATTAGTTTTTTTTTTAAATCTAAATGTAACAGGTTAACAAATACTAAAATAAATTAAGTTTTTTTTACATTTTCTGAAAAAGATAGTTATTTATTTGTAATTTTGTTATGACTAAAATATACAAAACTCCCTGATTTTTAAGGTAGTATTATAGAATCACTTTACCTTTAAAAATTTAAAATTAATCTTCCAAACATTTTTTTTTATCACAGACTCCACTACTGTTATTTTTTAGTTATTTATATTACTAACAGAAGTTACAATATGATATTAAGGAAAACACTTAATGAGTCAAAATTATAAAAATTGATTTACAACAAGTTACTTTAAAAATTGAGTTACAATGAAATAAAAATTATAAGAACCAAGTGATTAAATAAGTAAAAATGATGAATTAATTGTTTACGTTTTTTGTATGCACAGGCCACAGGGCATCAATTCTTTTTATAAGCCAAGGTAACAAACTGTAAGATAAGTTGTATGAGAATAAAAGAGGAAAGTTTATATTCTTAATATGCATGGACAACAAATTCTAAAATAATTTATCTAAAAATACAACAAATTTTTATCTGTATTATTAATAAATATGCACGGGCATAAGATTCTAAAATAAAGTAAGTTATTTATTCATTCTCAAAGAAACAAATTTTAAAATAAAAATACATTTTAAATTTAAATTTGTATAAATTGTTGTCTATATTTGGATATATCTTGTCACAAAATCTAAAATAGAATAAATTGGTTATTTTTATCTCCTAATTTCTAATCACTAAGAACATCTCTGCATCTAATATGGTCAAGCTCAACAAACAAGGGGACTATTTGTTGATGTTGATGGTTAAAAAAAACTTACTCCCTTCATTATTTTAAATAGTTAAGGGTAAAGATGTAAATTTAACCATTTGTTATTTTTTCTAGGAACATCTACTGGTAACCTAAACTATCAGGTGGTGCAAAATAAATCCTCAATTTCAAAAAACAGAGCATCCAATAACCTGCCATTAACTTCACCTAATAAACATTATGTAAAGCTCACAAATGACACGTGGTGTTGCAAATTTAACTACGAACTATTTTTCAATGAGCATTGGAAAGCCTCAACTATAAAAAGAGTGACCATCCAACACTTTCCCATCAATTTGTCTAAACACAGTTTATTTACATACTTATGAGACTAATAATACGTCAATTTTTCTAATCTTTTTGCATTCGTTCTTAGTTTTGTTAGAATTATAATTGAAAATAGTAAATAATTAAGATTGCTTCAATATTGTGGAGCAATATATCAACCAATTGTCTCTTCTCCACTATTGTCTCCCAACTTTCATTGAGATTTAAATGAATATTACACTTGACAAAAACAAATATTACACAATTTCCCCGCTTTCATTTTTAATGTAAAAATTAATCTTTCCTCCATAAGAAAAATTAAATATTCATAAATCTTAGCTTAATTAAATTCATTTTAACCTAAATCTCAATAAATTTACAAAGTAATTATCTTTAATTTAGTTTTAACTTTGATAAATTTTAATTAATTTCAACAACTATATGTAATGTTCATAACCAATATTAGCATTGCACTAATTCAGATAATAAGGCTGGGGAGAGAGATGTGAGAACTCAAGGCTCAAGTCCACCCAATGCATCAACAATTATATGTAATTTTCACCTTTACATCTTATTGAAGGAACAAGCTTCAAATTTATAGTTCATTTCAAGCAAAAACAAAACAAATAAAAGTGGTTGTTCTTCCCACCGGATCGTAGGCCGAATTGCACACAAGATAGATGAGAGAGACTCCAAAAGAAGTTTCGTCTTTTTAATTTTCTTATGTTTTAAATATTTTTCACCTTTTTTTATATCAATTTAATATTTTGTTTTGTTATGTAAGAATATCCAAATATAATAAGAAGCTAGAACAAATAGCTCTGAAAACAAAAATAAAATTGATTTGTATATTGATGTGGGTCCTAGCATAGCAACAAAAAGGATAAAAGAAAAGAGAAAACACTTGCCTGTGAGGAAAAGAGCAATTTTATGTGGCCATTTAGATCAGGGCCGCAATATTGTGGACGATAACTTGTGTGTTGGGAAGGCTTTGCTGAAACTCGTAAATGTTGAGATGCATTTATGGATCCACAAGAGAAAATTCTCATTCTAGGGCATTCATCAACAGTCAAAAGTTCCAAACATGGGAAGTTCAGTGTAGAATTCCCTGAGTGAAAGCTTCCAAGTCTTTGAAGAGAGTCCAAAGACAAAGTTTTGAGCTTTTGAAATGTTAACTCATCTTCATCAGATCCATCATCTTTTTTAGGCACTATTTCTTGTATTGATCCACATTTGCCAATGGAAAGCTCCTCAAGTAAATCTAAACTACTTACATTTGACAATGTGAACAAGAAGACCAATCCTTGACATTCATATACAAACAATTTCCTTAATTTTGAAAAGATAAAGCAGATGGCACCATGTTCCTCAAACAAGGACAATTCTCCACCCACAAGGTTTCTAGGTTTTCAAGAATTGGGGCAACCCAGGACTGGTCTAACCCAATGGATTCAAGACACTGCAAAGACATCAGTTCCAATCCCTTGAGTTGTGGAAACAACATTCCCAAGTCAAAATCTATATCATGTCTCTGAGAGCTGAAAATTTCTTTGAAGTTACTACAAGCCACTTGAAGCTTTCTAAATTGGGAAGTAATTCCTTTCGGAAAAATTGATATGGAAATCCATCTGAATAATCATGGAAGCATCGCAACACAGAGATTTCACTTTACGAAGGAAGTTTGCCTGAAACAGTGCCTGACAATTAATCCTCATGATGTCTTCCTTGTCAAGTGACAATTGTTCTATGTTGGGAAAACCCTAGGAACAACCAAATTATCATTAGGCTAGAAGAAAAACAATAAATGGTTCTATTACAGAGATTTTCTTATATTTATCAATCACACAAACAATATTTATGGATCAATAAAATTATTATTAGAGTCCTAAAAGCTAACAAGATTCATTTCAGTCATTTCCTCTTATCAGTTCCCTTGAAATATCTCTTCTTAGCATATTTTAATCAAGCGTGTACTATATATGTTCGACGTGTTTCAAACAAAGCACATCCTTTTCAAGTTGATATAAAATTTAAAATATACTAAAGTGGAAAACATTGAGGAGATTATATATGCATATGCGCATTGAGGAGTTAACATGACAATGAGAAAAGTAATGCCTTGGACAATGGCTTTGAGAGAAAAATAAAAAAGTACTTATGAGTATAGAACCTTTTCAAATGGAACAATGGCTTCCCCATCACTTGGATGATCCTGATCCTCAGTCGGGAAAATCTTCAATTGATCGCAGTGATGCACATCTAATACTTTTAACATTGGCCATTCCAATTTGTTTAGCCATGGACATGTGCATTTGAGCTTTGGCAAACTAAATAGCTCCAAACTTGTTAAGCTGGGAAAGATACCATAGTAGGTAGTTGCTCCACCTAACATTGTTTCATCCCATGCAACAATTTCAACTAACCCTTACACCATCGCACTTCTAGTATTTCAAGCCTCCCAAGTTTGCCATGGGCCATGGACGCTGGAAACAAGCTCTTGAGGCTGCTGCACCCATTAACATGTAATTGTTGTAGCGATTGGAAGCTGAGAAATTCTTGAGGGTCCTCATTCCAAACATGCTCCAGATCAGGGAGCTGTTCCAAGGTCAATGTTTTCAAGGGAATGGAGAAGAAGGAAGACAAAGATCCCACTTCAAATATTGCCTTTACTGAGCCACAATTCCGTACTTGTAAATCTTCCAAGTTACAAATCAAGCCAAGCAAATGAAAAGGGATCACATTTTTGATAAGAAATGACAACCATCCACTATCAAAGTCTTCAACTTACTGAACCCTCCATCAGGGACTGGTGTTTCACGTTGCCATATCTCTTGCAGCCCAGGGTAATCTCCAAGCTCCAAATTTTGCACATCACGTAGTGCAACCTGCCCAAGCAAAACAGTTCATACATCCAGACAATTACTTATTGGTTCGTTGAGTTTTATTATGTGCAAATTGAAGATAAATGTGATTCATTGTGGTGGGGGAATTTAGGTACTTGTTCACGCTTTTCGCTTTGGACGTGAGATTTAGCAGAATATTACTTCATCAGCGCCCCTCTTCAACTATATTATTACAAATTAAACTTTAAGCCACAACAAAACAAAAATACATTTCAACTTAAATGCATTTTAACAAGAATATCATTAAGCATATAATGGAAGGTAACAGTAATCCACAACAAAACAAATATCATTTAGCAGCAGTAATTATTTTCCTTTAATAAAATTTAATTTAAAAAATATATAACAGTTTTTATACGTAACGGTAATTTCAAACAAATATGCATTAGCATTTAGCATTATGATATTGTAATTTTAACAAAACTTTTGAAATCGACAGGATTTTTTTTTTTTGACACAAAATATGTTTTGTCCATTTTCAAGACAAATTTGTTTCAAATATATTACTAAGCCATCCGACTGCACTTGCAGTAGAACAGCACGTAATGCAAAACCGAATATTGCTCTTAGAAAGTAGAATCAACAAACACAATGGAAGTTAGAAACCATTTGGAGGGAGGCTAGAATTAGAATCAACAAATTCAAATTACAGCATGCCCATGTCAAAGTGCAAGTATCGAGGAATGATATTGCAAAATAACTGAGAAATTGATGGATATGTTATGTATAAGATGCAAGTTGGCGGATATATATATATATATGCGAGGGCGGAAGGAATCAGGACTTATTTGATTGTAAAATACTTACGAATTTCATAGGGAGACTTTATCAAATTGCTATAAAACATGTTGTTTCTAATGTTTAATTTGTATGGGATAATAAATTTCAGAATAAGATATCTTGTTTAAGTTTTTAATATGCTTGGAGATAAAAAAAAAAAGGGTAAAACTTATAATCTTATATAATTAACATACTCTTGTTATATTAAATCAAGACGTGTGTATTTAATGTATTAATAAAATCATTAACAAGAATTATTTATAGAATCTTAAAAGATCCAAATGTTAAGGCCAAGTATATAAGTTTTTTCTATACATATTTTTTATTTATTTAGTTTCTAAATTGGCTCTTAAGATTTTAATAACTTATAATACACGGGGTGCACGGGTTAATAAATTCTGTAATAAAATATACATTTAAGTTTTTCATATACACAAGGGTAACGAATTGTAAAATTTTAATTTATGTGAATAAATATTTAAGAATAAATTAAAGTGTTGTTTACATTTTCAATATGGATTATGATATATATAAGTAACCCTAAAATAAAACAAGCTGTTTGTATTATTAGCATCCCTCGTGTGAAGCAATTTGTGTTAAAATAATACAAGTTTTTATTTATCTTCTTAACATGCATGGAGAAATAAATTCCAAATTAAATCAATTTGTTTATGCAATATATGGAAGAAAAACATTTAAAACAAAATATGTGTTTTAGATTTTTAATCACGTGTATAACGATTTATACAATTTAGAGAATAAAATTAGTTTTTTTTAATCTAAATGTAACAGGTTAACAAACTAAAATAAATTAAGCTGTTTTTACATTTTCTGAACAAGATAGTTATTTATTTGTAATTTTGTTATAACTAAAATATACAAAACTCTCCCGATTTTTAAGGTAGTATTATAGAACCACTTTATGTTTAAAAGTTTAAAATTAATCTCCCAAACATTTTTTTTAACCACAGACTCTACTACTGTTATTTTTTAGTTATTTATATTACTAATAAAAGTTACCATATGATACTAAGGAAAAAACATAACAACGAGTCAAAATTATAAAAATTGAGTTACAATAAAATCAAAACTATAAAAATCAAGTGATTAATAAGTAGAAATGATGAATTAATTCTTTACGTTTTTAGTATGCACAGGCCACAGGGCATCAATTCTTTTTATAAGCCAAGGTAATAAACTGTAAAATAAGTTGTATGAGAATAAAACAGGAAAGTTTATATTCTTAATATGCATGGGCAACAAATTCTAAAATAATTTATCTAAAAATACAACAATTTTTATCTGTATTATTAATAAATATGCACGGGTAAAAGATTCTAAAATAAAGTAACTTATTTATTCATTCTCAAAGAAACAAATTTTAAATAAAAAATACATTTTAAATTTAAATTTGTATTGGTATAACCATTCATATTCTACAATTAATTGTTGTCTATATTTGGATATATCTTGTCACAAAATCTAAAATAGAATAAATTGGTTATTTTTATCTTCTAATTTCTAATCACTAAGAACATCTCTACATCTCATATGTTCAAGCTCAACAAACAAGAGGACTATTTGTTGATGTTGATGGTTACAAAAACTTACTCCCTTCATATTTTAATAGTTAAGGGTAAAGGTATAAATTTAGCCATATATTATTTTCTAGGAACATCTAGTAACCTAACTATCATGTGGTGTGAAATAAATTCTCAATTTTAAAAACAGAGCATCCAATAACTCGCCATTAATTTCGCCTAACAGACATTGTGTGAGGCCCACAAATAAGATGTGATGGTGCAAATTTAGCTACAAATATTTTTCAAGGAGCATTGGGAAGCCTCTACTATAAAAAAGGGATTATTCAACACCTTCCCTCAATTTTGTCTAAACACCATTTATTTCATACTTATGAGACCTACAATTGTGTCAATTCTCTTAATCTTCTTACATTTGTTCTCAGTCTCAGCGTCGAAAAAAAAAGATTTAAAGAATTTTTATCTAAAGACATTCATGAAAATAACATCAACAAAATAGAAGAAATAATTCATAGCCAAAATAAACTAGAGCCAAACTTCTTCCACGTGTAGTAAAATCAAGCTCCTACTTCATTGGCATTATTTCGTGTGTCTTCAAGTAAAAACTCTTTGAACCTCTTCTCAAGTTGAGACTCAGAATGCATACAAGAAGATTGGAGGGATTGACGTATTCTAGATCTCATAAGTATGAAAATAAACAATATTTAATCAAAATTGATGGAAGGTGTTGGATGGTATGTTTTTTACAGTAGAGGCTACCCAGTGTTCCTCGAAAAATAATGTGGCTAAATTTTTCACCTTTACACATGCTAATATGGAGTGATACATGTCATTTATAGGCCCCACATAATGTCCGTTAGGTGAAATTAAAGGCAGATTACTGGATGCTCTGTTTTTTGAAGTTAAGGATTTATTTTCGAACTACCTAATAGTTTAGACTACCAGATGCTCTTAAAAAAATAGTTCATAGCCAAATTTGCTTCTTTACCCAATATTTAAACACAGTAAAATGTGAAATTAATTGATGATTCTAAAAAAATAGTAAGAAAAAAAACGTAGCTTTTTTAAAACAACTGTAACGAACAAATCATTTTCATACCTTTCGTTTATATATAAAATGTTCAAATAATGTAACAAAATAAAATTTTTTTTTTAACAATTCAAAATTATCGAATATTTTTTCACCAAAAAATTTCCCAAGCATCTTATACCAATAAGTGGGCCATTTTTCTTCCTAAACCATTTTTTAGAAAAGTAAAATCTCCCTCCATTAATAGATCATTAATGGAGGGAGATTTTTGCTCCTCTAGAAAATGATTTAGGGGGAAAATACTCACCTATTAGTACAAGGTGCCTAGTGCTTCTCGATAGAAAGTATAGAGAGAAAAATGCACTTTAACCTGTATAAAAAAGAAGAAGACAAACATACTAGAGACTTAGGTTGTTAAGACCTGTTTGGTTTCTTTTTAAAAAAAGTTTTCTGTTGTTAAAAATCAAAAAATTTAAAGAACTCATTTGGATAAGTGTTTTAGATTTATTATTTTTAAAATGTTCTCATTTTTTTAAAACAACAAGAAATGGAAATGTCTTAAATTTGTTTATTTCATTTTATTTCTATTGTTTTCAAAACATACTACATTTTATTATTGAAAAATATAGTTAGTTTAACTAATTTCTATCATAAACTACTACTATTAATTATAGCAATCATCACTATCAGCTTATTTTGCACCTAAATTGTTTTTAAATTAACATAGCTAAGCAGATTTTCATTTTATTTTATTTTAAAAATAATTTTAAAACTGTATAATAAAAGTTTTTTGAAACAAAAAATTAGATAAGAAACCAAACAAGTCCTAATATTCTCAAACATGCATACATTTGTAATTAGCTACGCATACGATTGTATCTCACACCAGACGCTATTACTTGTTTTTTTTTTTTTTTGGTAAAATTATCACTAAAAACAGCAATCACATAATGTTCTATTGATGTTTACTTTAAAAATTATTCATGATACTAAAAGAAGTTTTAAAGAAAAATGTCTTTTTAAAATAACTGTTGTATGGTGTGACATTAGGAAAATTATAGTTACTATTTACGGTAAACAAAAAACATTTTAATACCTTTCATTTATATATAAATAATCAAATAATGTATTGATAAATACAGATACACACACACACATACATCAAATGCATATATTTTCTTTCCCACGTAAAAACCTTTTTCTCCGATGTTAGAAAACTTGCAACTTTTAAACTACAGTATCTTGTTGGAAGGTGGTGATTTAACTTAAAGACAGTAACAGTGATATATATATATAGAGAGAGAGGGGGGGGGTCATTTATTTTATACCCAAATCATGCCCTTCAATCACATATACTCCATTAAGACAAAAGGATATAAACTGGTGGGTTGATGCACACAAACAACCAAAAAATCCATCTATCAAAAATGAAATTGGAGAGTGAATACTGACCTTCTCGTCAAACAATTTCTGCACTGTTGTGTTGAGATCACTATAGCTGTGCCAAGCATCTTCGTCCCTTGAAGCTCTTATTCCTACAAAGTAGGGCGCCCTTACTACTCCTTGAGAGAAACGTTTCATCTTCGGGCATTGTTCTATGGTCGCTTCTCTCAGAGCTGAGAATTCTAAAGTGGCATTCCCCGAATAAAAAAACACCAGCCTTGGTAACTGACTCATAGTTATAAATGTAAGCCGTTCAAAAATTATCTCTTCTGGAGTTGACTCACCGCTCCCATGATTCACTATTTGTGCTATTGATGTACAATCAGTTATCTCCATTCTTTGAAGTCGCACCAAACTTTTGGCTACTGAAGATGAGAACAGAGAAACTAACCCATGGCATCCACTCACTGTCAATTCTTCCAAATTGCAAAATGATACCGCAGAAGAAGGCACCAGAATAGTCAAACGATGACAATCCTTTATTTTCAGGACTCTCAGATTCTTGCGAAGTGGGTCCACCCAGGAATTATGTAACCCAATGGAGGAGAGCATCGGCAGGCCCAGCATGTATAACTCCTTCACTTGCGCAAGTATATTGATGACATGATTAATATCTTCAGGTCTTTGAGAGGGAAACATCTCATCCAATGCATCGAAATTTATTATACAAAGAGATTCTAAATTAGGTACCTTCTTAAAGAATTTAAAAGGCAGAGTAGCTACTGCTTCATAGGAATCACCAAAGTTTAGACCCAGGGCTTTCAGCTTGTGAAGCAGGTCATCAAGAAAATTTCCATGTGATAACATCATCATGTCTTTCCCATTGAGGGTTAACACTTCCAACTTTGGAATTACCTATTAGTGAAAATTAAATGGACAAAAAAGAACAAGGATAAGGATTGCTTATATAGATATTTTCTTTTCACAATACGAGAACAAAAAAGTGAAGGAATGATGGAAATGAAGATCAAATTACCTTTTCATCCAGGAAAAGAGGTTGCGTGTTAGTTGTAATATCAGCTTCATACTCACATCCTACTTCTCCACGGTGACTTTGAAAATCTAATGCGAATGTGTCCAGCTTATTACAATCACACACAACTAGCATCTGCAAGCTGGGACATTCCAGAGTAAATCTTCCAGGATAAAAAAACTTGAGGCTTGGTAAACGATACATCATCAAAGTGGTTAAAAAATGGAATTCAAATTTTCTGCTCGCTCCATCAGCTACTGCTTCTTCCTTTCCAAACATTTCTTCCAAGGCAAAACATCGGCCTATATCAAGTTTCTTGAGTCTCATAAAATTTTTTGCCAAAGATGCTGGGAAAAGAGATTTTATTCCCCCACAGTCAGTGACAACTATTTCTTTCAGATTTTGAAAACTTATAGTCCTACAAGGATCTTTACTCCATATACACTTCAGATTCCGCAAGCTCTTTAAAATCATTCTTCTCAAGTGAAAGGGCTTTCCATTTGTTTCTGTCAACCTATTACCATCCATATCAAAAATAACCTCCACTGGACTTGAACTTACTTGCAACTCCTCCAAGTTCTTAAAGAAGGAAGTAAGTTAGAAGGGAACACTTGTGACAGAAAGGAACAATTCTCCACTATCAATGTTCTTAGATTGTTAAAGCAGTTGTCTGGTGGGGAAACTTCGCCCTGCCATAACTGCTCTAACTCAGGATAACAAGAAAGTCTCAAATGTTGACAAGATGCAAAAAGAACCTGCAAAATCAAATAAATTCAAATGCCATTAGGCTAGTCTAAATAAAGTAATTAGAAAACAATTTTTTCTTGATGAAAAAATCATTTAAATGCCCTGAGGCAAGTCCTTATATTTTGGAAAATAAAATTATAAAAGAGTAAAACTATTTTAAAATTGTAATATTGATAAAAGTTTTAGTAATTAGAAATATTAATACTAAATTTTAACATAATTTTAATCTTTATAAATTTATTTTATTAAATATGGGGATCATTATTTTAAATGATTAAAACTGTAAGGATTGAGTTGTACTAAGTGAAAATTCAGAGATTAAATTACAAGTCAAAACTATAAGGATCAATTTACAGCAAGTCAATTTAAGAACTGAGTTATAATAAAATTAAAACTATAAAGACTAAATGATTGAAGAAGTTGAAATAATGAATTAATTCTTTACATTTTTAATATACACAGACCACAGGGCATCAATTTTTTTTTTTAAAATAAGCCAGGGCAACAAATTGTAAAATAAGTTGCATGAGAATAAAACAGAAAAGTTTATATTCTTAACATGCATGGACAACAAATTTTAAAATAATTTATATAAAAATACATAAAATTTTTATTTATATTATTAATAAATATGCACGGATAGAATATTCTAAAATAAAGTAAGTTATTTATACAGTCTCAAAGAAACAAATTTTAAAATAAAAAAATACATTTTAAATTTAAATTTGTATTGGTATAACCATTTATAGACTACAATAAAGGTTGTCTATATTTGGATATATCTTGTGACAAAATCTAAAATAGAATAAATTATTTATTTTTATCTTCTAAGTTCTATTCACTAAAAACATATCTTTGCATCACATATGGCCAAGCTCATCAAACAAGAGGAAGGTTTGTTGATGTTGCTAGTTAAAAAAAAAAATTACTCCCTTCATTAATTTAAATATTTAAACATAGCAAAACATGAAATTAATTTATGATTCTAAAAAAAAAGTAAAAAAAAAAAACATGGCTTTTTTAAAACATCTGTAACGAACAAATCATTTTAATACCTTTCGCTTATGTATAGTGTTCAAATCATGTAACAAAATAAAATTTTTAATTTTGACGATGCAAAATTACAGAACATTTTTTCACCGAAAAATAAAATTATTAAGAAAATTAATGAATATTTAAAACTGAAATATATATATATATATATATATCAAATACATGTATCTTTTCACCAAAAACAAATACATGTATTTTCTTTATCACATAAAAAACTATTTTCTCCGATGTTAGAAAACTTGCAAGTTATTTGTACAGTCTCAAAGAAACAAATTTTAAAATAAAAATACATTTTAAATTTAAATTTGTATTGGTATAACCATTTATAGACTACAATAAATTGTTGTCTATATTTGGATATATCTAGTGACAAAATCTGAAATAGAATAAATTGTTTATTTTTATCTTCTAAGTTCTAATCACTAAAGACATATCTGTGCATCACATATGGCCAAGCTCATTAAACAAGAGGAAGATTTGTTGATGTTGCTAGTTAAAAAAAAAAAATTACTCCCTTCATTAATTTAAATATTTAAACATAGCAAAACATGAAATTAATTTATGATTCTAAAAAAAAGTAAAAAAAAAAACATGGCTTTTTTAAAACATCTGTAACGAACAAATCATTTTAATACCTTTCGCTTATGTATAGTGTTCAAATCATGTAACAAAATAAAATTTTTAATTTTGACGATGCAAAATTACAGAACATTTTTTCACCGACAAATAAAATTATTAAGAAAATTAATGAATATTTAAAACTGAAATATATATATATATATATATATATCAAATACATGTATTTTTTCACCAAAAACAAATACATGTATTTTCTTTCCCACATAAAAATATTTTCTCCGATGTTAGAAAACTTGCAAGTTATTTATACAGTCTCAAAGAAACAAATTTTAAAATAAAAATACATTTTAAATTTAAATTTGCATTGGTATAACCATTTATAGACTACAATAAATTGTTGTCTATATTGGGATATATCTTGTGACAAAATCTAAAATAGAATAAATTGTTTATTTTTATCTTCTAAGTTCTAATCACTAAAGACATATCTGTGCATCACATATGGCCAAGCTCATTAAACAAGAGGAAGGTTTGTTGATGTTGCTAGTTAAAAAAAAATTACTCCCTTCATTAATTTAAATATTTAAACATAGCTAAATATGAAATTAATTCATGATTCTAAAAAAAAGTAAAAAAAAAAAAACATAGCTTTTTAAAACATCTGTAACGAACAAATCATTTTAATACCTTTCGTTTACATATTAAGTGTTCAAATCATGTAACAAAATAAAATTTTTAATTTTGACGATGCAAAATTATAGAACATTTTTTCACGAAGAAATAAAAGTATTAAGAAAATTAATGAATATTTAAAACTGAAATATATATATATATATATATCAAATACATGTATATTTTTCACCAAAAACAAATACATGTATTTTCTTTCCCACATGAAAACCATTTTCTCCAATGTCAGAAAACTTGCAAGTTTTAAACTAGAATGTCTCGAAGAAGGTAGTTTAACTTAAAACAGTGGACCCACTTGTTTTATACCCAAATCATGCCCTTCTATCACATATATTCCATTAAGACAAAAGGATCATAAAGTGATATGACAACGCACACAAACCACTAAAAATTCCAACTATCAAAAATGAAGCTAGGGAGTAAATATTTAAATTCCACCTATCATAGAGTGCTAGTCTAAATTTAAATGTCATTAGGTTAGTCTAAATAAAGTAATAGGAAAAATAATTTTTTATCACTGAAAAAAATCTTCCCCTTGACTTGGATAATTGATTATAATATTTTTAAAAACACGGCGATAACTTTGGAAATCACTATATGTGTGTTTTAATGATGAAGTGGGTATGTATTTGTGACAGGGAGTGTGTCGATTGTATATATAAGGGGGGAAGTAACAAAATAGAAGAGCATAGTATATTGCATCAACAAAGAAAAAACAAGAAGAGTATAATATAGAATTTTTATTTAGAAATCAAAATTAATTTTATTAACTTTAATGTACAAGAAATTAGAACATACCATGTCTGAAAAAATCTTTTGGATTGTGGCATTCAAATCACCTTCCCAATACCATTCATCTCCCTCCTCTACTTCTACAATATTGACTTTTTCTAAGTTTGGTGTGCTCACAATTTTCTCGGAAAATTTTTCCAACTTAAGGCAATTGCTCACTATCACCTTTTCAAGACATGGAAAGATGAATGCAACATTATTCTGAGAATTACAAAAACTTGTGAGGTTTCTTAGAGACATCAGTTCTATGCTTTTCAATTTGCCAAAAACAATCTCATCTTCTTTCTTTTATTCATTCTCTCCCACTGTAACAATTTCCTCCATAATTGCACATTGAGCAACCTTCAAAATGGTCAGTTGAACCAAGGATTTTGTAGCTGACAATGTCATTAAATTCCTTAATCTATCACAATTTCTGACTTCAAGATGTGACAAGTGAGTCAATGCTATGGAGGAAGGCATTAAGCTTATCGAATAGTGACATTCCACCATGCATAGCTTCTCAACCCTTTGAAGAATGGCGCCATTTTCGAAGCCTATGTTCAATGGAAGATTTGAAGACTGTAATTTCAAATGCTTAGGCTGTACAACAGTTCCTATTTTCCCAAGGGTAGCATCACTTTCTTCGGGCATCACCTCTTTGATATAAGAATGGTGCAACTCTAGGCTTTCTAGTTCAGAACATCTGTGGAGGAACCAAAAGAGAATTTTGATGTTGCTCAACCCATCAAAGACTAGTCGTCTGATGTTGTGCATTAGATAAACATTATCGCCAACAATGTCTTGCAACCGCTTCATTTCCTTCAGCCCATATATTTGTAAGTCTTTCAAGTTGGGTAACACCTAGAAACCATTTTGAAAATATGCACGAACTTCGGAAGAAGAACACATAAATAAGCAAATAATTAGATTAAGAAAATCTTAGGTTCATACTTTTGTATCTTTGTGCCATCATATTGAGAAAAAGAAAAACAACACGACACAACTCCAAATATCTTATCAATCATGATGTTATTGTACCTTTTCCAAAGATGGGAGAATTGGCTTCACTTCTGAATGTGTTGTTTCCATACAAAATGCTTCCAACTTGTCACAATGACCAAACCCCAAAGAAGTCAATGCTTGGAACTCGATAGCATCTGTTCCCTGATAGAAACACCGTAGTTCTGCTAGATGTGCTAATGCAAGCATGGTTAGCTTAGGAAACTTAAATGTGAAGTTGCTCCTGTTTGATGCATCATCCCTAGCAACAATTTCCTTCATCCCATCACAATACCATATTCGAACACTCTCCAGTTTCATAAGATCACTGGCAACAGAAAATGGAAACAGATTTTCTAGGCTTGGGCAATGATAGACAACAACATGTTGCAGAATTTTAAAGTTCAGAAGTCCTTGAGGATCTTTGCTCCATACATGCTTCAATTTTGGAAGACTTTGTAATGTAACAACTCGCAAGTTTGTTTCATTCCCACCACCTGTTTCTGGTGTAGACTGAAAATTGAATATCTCTTCCACTAACTTGCAATTATTAACCTCCAAGACGTCAAGATTATGAAATCTTCCTACCATGTAAGGAGGAAAAATTGCGACGAGTTTGTGGCAGTCTTCAATTATCACAGATTCCAAACTGACAAAGGACTCCATGCCAGCTTGGGCATGCCATACGGTCTTCAATTCCTCCATGTTGGTGATCTCAATTTTCTTCAATTGAGGAAAGATGTCAACCTCCTACATATGAACCAAAGTAGTCAATGGAACCAAAATGACAAAAGAAAAATAATGCCTATTTTTTGTGCCTAATCAAGGGCCTGTTTGTTTAAAATTAAAAAACAAGTTATTTTTAGATAGTTTAGAGATTTTATAAAAAGAAATTTATTTTGTAAAGGTTTTATAAAAAGTAAACCATATTTTATATTTGGTTATACTAATAAAAAAAAGTAATTATTGGTTAGCTATTTTTCAATTTTATTATATCTTCTTCGATTTTTGTTTTATAAAAACAATATATTATTTAATTATTTTAAAATTTTATTGTATATTTGCATATCACACTTTTTAAAACATTCTCTTTCATCTACCGCATCAAATTAAAGTAATTTTTTAAAAGGAAAAATTAATTATTTCGTCCCTGTAATTTTGACTTTCCTGAATTTTAACTTGTTATAACTCAGTCCTTAAATTTTTGATTCAGTTGTAAATCAGTCCTTAAACTTTACCTTTTTCAATTTAGTTCTTAAAGTTTTAACCTCTTAAATATTGGTCCGTATATTTTGAAAAATTAAATTATAAAGATTCAAATTATTTTAAAATTTATTACTAATATTTTAAATTATTAAACCCTTTTAATCTTTATAATATTATAAATATTAAAATTTTAAAATATTTTTAATCTTTATAATTTTGTTTTTTCAAATATAGGAACCAATATTTAGGAGGTTGAAATTTCAGAGACTAAATTGCAAGAGGCAAAGCGTAGGGATTGATTTCTAACTGAGTCAAAATTTCAAGGACTGAATTATAACGAGTTAAAGTTAAAGGACTGAGTTACGGATCAAAACTACAAGGACCAAATGATTAATTTTTCCTTTTTAAAATAATCAAAAATTTATTTTTTTTTAAATTATGATTATTTTCAAAAGTTTAAACAAACATCATTAAAATTCACAAAATATATTTTTTTTCAAAAAAGAAGTGAATTTTTCATAAAATAAGTTAAAACAAACAAGTGCTAAATCCCATGAAACTGCATACCTGGGGTGCTTCATTCGTGTTAATGTCTTCTGGGTCGAAAATATTCTTCATCATATCACATCCCCTTACAAAAAGGCTTTGTAGTTTCATTAAACTCCCAACCATTGAGAATGAAAACAAATATTTTAAACTGCAACAGCCATTAACATTCAATTTGGTCAAATTTTCAAAAGAATGATTTGGCAAAGGTTGGTTCCCCCACACCTTCTTGATATTGGTTGAGAACAACTCCAAGCTCTCTAGTTTGGGCATGAAAATCTGCAAGATCACAAAAAATTTCAATCTCTAAAGTAACTGATTATGATTTCCACAAATCAAATTTTAAAGTGAATATGATTTAAAATGTACAAATTAAAACACAGAGAAATACAAGTATCAAAAGTTGATAGCATTTAAATACCTTTGAATTAAAGAGTGGAGTACAATCTGAGACAATCTCCATTTGAGAGGTTGAAACTTTCTTGTCATTTGCATAGAAACAAGTTAATTCTGATAAAGATTGCAATGTCAAATACAGTAATTGAGGAAATGAAGTTATATCATCTCCTGTGTCATTGCCAATATTCTCTTGTCTTTCCACAACAACAATATTTTCTAAAGAATCACACTCAGAAACTTCAAGTGTTTCGAGCTTTGTGAGAAGTTTAGCCATGCAAAATGAGAAGAGATATCTCAGTCGGCCACAAATTTTAATCTTCATGGTTTTTAAACTCTGAAAAGAAGGATTTGTAAGTTGACAATTGCATACTTTTTCTAGGCTCTCTAATTTGTACAAACATATTGACTGCAACTCAGGAAAAGCCTTTGCTTGATGTTCCCACTTTGTTGAGTAGATTATAATCTGGATGTCAGAATTTTTTCTGATGGTTAAATGCTTGAGAGTTGGAAATCCTTCCACATTTAACTCATAGGTAACTTTTTGAAGACCATCTACTTCCCCTAAAAACAATTGTTCAATGCTTTTAAATAACCGTTTAATCTCCCTCTTGGAATGAATGTCATTCCCCTTTTTTAGATGCAATGCCAAAATTCTTGAAGCCTTATATTTATAAGGCATTTGAAAATCCTCCAACAAAAACATTTTAGAGTCTCCAATCACGATTTTGTAACTATCCAACTTGTCAAAAGATAAGCTATGAGGCAAAGCTGTGATATCTTGTATGTGAACATGCAGACTTCTCAACTGTTGAAGATTACTCAATTCAGCAAGAGTAGCGGTTTCATTGTCATTTGTTTTTTCGTCAATACCCCATTGGATCAAGTTTCTTTCCATATACAACTCTTCCAAACTTTTCAACTTTGATATTACATTAGATGGAATTACTTTAAGTTTAGTACAGCTACTAATGTCGAGCAATTGTAGCTTGTCCAATTGCCTCAATTCACTTGGCAATAATTTGAACTTAGATCCCAAAAGGCTTAGAATCCTTAAACTCTTCAACTTTCCAATGATGGATATGTTCTCACCTAACACACATTGCTCCAAACAAAGCATTCTAAGCTTTTTTAGGCATTTAATTGAAGAAGGGAAGCTTGATAGATCGATACCAGTAATTATTAATACCCTCAATTCTTCCATTCCTTCAAAAAGTCTGTCCGGTATTTTCACAGAAGGATCCTTACTGTCAAGATGGAAGATTTTGAGTTGAGGGCAATTCATACCTTCCGGAATCTCGTCAATGATATTGCAATAATGCAAAGAGATAGCAGTGTACTTTTCAAATTTATCCTTGTCAGGCCATACATTAAGGTTGACATAGCTCTTGGTAAAAACATTTTCCTCCTTACGTGCTATTGATAAGGCAGCATCACGGATCATATCATGCATAGTAACACAATCAGGGGAATTAGTATCTAGCAACAAGCTTGAGTTTTTCAACTTCTCAATCGATTCGTTTGTTCTAGCTTGAACTTCTTTTATGGTATTGACTCCTTCAAATATGGCTAAACCAATGCAATATTTCACCAAAAACATAATTGATGGCTCCTTACCCAGACGAGCGCAAAGTAAGAAAATAGATTTGAGCATTTCACCTTTTAAGTGATCATAACTTAACTTTGTTGAAAATTCCACAGGTTCTAATTCTTCGATCATTTCTTTTTCCAGTCGCTGCAGAGCATTTTCCCAAGAAACTTTGTTCTTGTTAATCTTTAAAGCTTTTCCAGTAGCAACTATTGCCAAGGGCAAATTCGCACATTTTTGAACAATTTTAGTTGATAACGATTTCAACTCATAATCTTCATTAGTTACTCCAACCACCTTGTTAAACAGCTTCTCTGATTCCTCTTGCTCCATGACATCCACGGTAAAAATTGAATCCTTTACTCCCATTTCACTTGACAACACGTCTCTCCTTCGAGAAGTCAACAAAACCTTATAGCTTTTGGAATCACTTGCCATCCTGTCATCTATCATCTGGTTGGAATCACTTGCCATCCTGTCGTCTATCATCTGGTTGTGACCAACACTAGGCATCTCTCTGACTGTCATTTGGCTGGTATCATCATCTTTAGATAGAATCCCCAACATACTCAACTCAAATCTAGCCCAAAGATCATCCAAGATGACTAAGGTGTTCTCCTTTTTCTTCTTCAGTCTCTCTCGCAAACGACTTGCTCTTCCAATATCAGTCTCATCATCCAATGTCAAGCCCAACATGGCTGCCATTTCTCCTTGAACCTTTCTTACATCAGGAGTGCTTGTTATATTTGCCATAATCACAACATTGAATAGCTTTTCTGCTTTAGCTTTCCTTGCAACTGCTTTCACTAAAGTGGTTTTGCCAACACCTCCCTGTCCCCAGATGCCGATCATTTTAATTGCAGGATCTCTCAGCGCTTTCATAACTTCCTCCAGAATGTCATCTCTTGATTTAAATGGCTCATAACCCTCATCATAAAGGGCAACATCCGACGCTTCTGGCTCTGGACGATAAGAAAAAGTAGCAAAGTTTGGCTGTTGCAGCAGATTAGTGCACAGTGGAATCATCTTCTTTGCTTTTCTGCCAAGCTTATGCCTTAACCTCAAGTTATTAGGAAACGAACCATTGCAACACCCTGTCTTCCGGTGGCCTTCATCTTTTTGAAAATCTTCAATTTCTGCAATCTTCTGCTCCATATTCTCCAACCAGTTGGTAACTTGATCGTCAATATTCTCCCCATTTCTTTCAGCAGCCCGAACTCGATTTGTCAAGCTCTGCCTCTGAGCTCGGAGCACCTCTGCACAACGACCCAGCTCCTGAACATTGCTTCTGTAGTAGTAAAGGTAACCCAGTTGTCGAGTAACTGGTTCTACAATGACATCAAACACTTTCCCGAAAATGGCTGTTACATACTCCATTCTTCTCTCTTAGGTTTTTTTTTTTTTTTTTTTTGGGTTTTCTCTCTATTTTTTTTTTTTTATTTTCTTCTAAGACAGGAAAACCAGACAGTAAACAAGGATGAACTAGAACACCAACAGAAGGAACGCCGTGGTTTTGAAATGGTGAGTGAAGTGAAGTACTAAGCAAGAACTACATAGAAAATAAATACAAAGGGACGATCAACACATAGAGTAGTGCAGGGAAAAATTTTAAAAAAAAAAATAAAAAATAAAAAAGCAAGTAAGACATGCTCAGAAAGTAAAGATGAAAGGGAAATAGAAAGACCTTGTTAGGAGAGATTGCAAGTGGCAACGTTCCTCTGGTCTTGAGGCTACAGCGGAGGAGGGAAGACTTCAAGGCTCTCAAGCATCTAATTTTTTGAAGGAAGCTCGTAACTGTTGCTGGTAGTGCAATGAAGAATACAAATCCTTACATGGAGATATGGAGCTCTTCTGACATGTCGCAGTGAGAGATTTGAGGAGGAATGGTGAAAAGAGAAAGTCATTATTATTATTAGTATTATTATTATGTTATGCCTTTGTTTGTTATCCGTCGTATTTATTCATTGTGATTTTAATCTTAGCTCCCATCCTTTTTCATTTTTTTAAAAATAAAAATAAATTATTACAAAAATAAATAAATAAAGATAAATAAAATTAATACTTCAACTTGTATCTCTTTGATTTTATACATGTCACTTTTAATTATTTCATTACTTGAGATGATAAAAATATTAATATTATCTAAAAAATAATTTTAATCTATTCTTATTAAATATATCATTTGTAAAATATTTTTATTTTATATACAATATTTTTAATACCCTACCCATTAAAAATATTAAAAAAATAAAATTGAAAGAAATTCCTTTTTTAACATATGAACTAAAAAACAATCTCAAAAAAGATAATTTATGCATAAGAATAAGATTCAAGAAAATAAATAATATAAAAATGAATATAATAAAATTGTGGTACATAAATTTTATTTTATGTGTTACTTATTCTCTAATCCTCTTTGCAAATCATTTTTACTAACATTATCAATATCAATATAACAAAATATAAGAAATAAAAGTGTGTAGAAATCCAAATATGCCTCTATATAATAAATCTAAAAAATAATGTCATATTCTTTTCTCTCTCTTATAAAAAATAATTTTAAAAATACATTTTAAATGTTATTTTAATAGTAGCATTATAATTTATAAATGAGATTAAATAAATTTTTTAAAATATATTTTATAAATAAAATAAGAGGGAATGCTTACTTTCCAATGTCCCATCTCATCCAACAAAGTCTTCTTTCCGTTTGTCTGGCAGACAAAGGACTGAGAAGTTTGATCATCCTTTAAGTAAATAACGTAAAAAAGATCTTCTAATGTGATTAGAATTTCGAACAAAAATCGGTCTCAATTAGTTTTATTTAAATAAATAATTAGTTAATTACATACGTCAATTAAAAAGAAAAAGGAGATCGGACAAAAGTTAAAAGGAAAGGCTGGTGGAGTCCAACTTGCAGCGGGCCTCCCATCGTCACGCGAGGAGCACCATAATTGCTGTCCGTACTAACATACTTATTCTTTATAAGCAAATAACAAAAAATTTATCATGAAATATTAAAATGACAATGTATTTTCATGAAATATCATAATTTTTTTTCATATTCTCATAATTTTTTTACATTTATAATTTTTAGTAAAATGACTAAAATATATATATATCTGAATTTAAAATAAAAAGTAATTAAAAAATAAATATTAATGATTACCTGATCATATATACTGTAACTCATATTTTTCATTTATTATATCGTTAAAAATATTGTAATTTATAATTTTAATGTCATAGTTATTTATTTACAATTGTTTTATAATTCTATTTGGTACATTCTAAAAAAATTACTTTTCAAAATTATTGTCAATATTTACATATCACAGAGTTTAAAATAGGGTTAAGAGTTATTTTTTTTCATTCAAAATTTACTTAAGAGGTCACTAGAGACTGTAAACTTAATTATTGATCAATTATATCTCTTAACATCATAGATTCCTAAGTTGTCATCTGTTCATCACAAGTGAATTCACATTGCATTTTTAATAAATATTTGAGTTCCATGTATCACTGAAGATAAAATTGAAAGATAAAAATAACTCTTAACCCATAATAAAAAATATTTAAAAAATATAATGTGTGACTTACTAATGATGAACAAATGATGAAATAATGTTATGGTAATGAGAGTAAAAATATTTAATATTGAAGAATAAAATTGACTCACAGATAAGTTTATAATACTTAGTAAGCATTCAAGTTAAAAAACAAAAATGACCTCAACCCTTTAAAATATAGTCTACCTATATAACTAAGAGGCATCAACCCCCCATTCCATTCCTACTTTTTTTTTCTTTTGACCTGATCATTCCATTCTACCCAACCTATGGATACCTCTTTTTTTTTTAAAGAAAATTAAAATCCTTGTTCCTTGCATTAAATTATGTATTTATAATTATAATAATCATATCATGTACCATTACACATAGTATTTAGAGATTATGGGGTGGCTGAAGAATTGGAGGGAGAGGTGGGGGGGAGGAAGCGGTTTTAGTGGGGATTAAAAAAACTAAAAGAAAAGAAAGGCCTCTCTGATAAATTAAGAAATACTACTCCCATAAATCATTTTTTAACTAATTCCCTTAAGTTTGAGAGAGATACAATAGATGACACCAAGCTAATCAAACAAGGACCCACTCTCAATGCTTCTAGGCTTTCAAGCAGAGGGCTGGCATCCAAGGAATGCTTTAACCCTATGGATTTGAGCTTGGGCAAATCAACTAGTTCCAATCCTTTTAATTGCAAAAAGAACATTTTATTATGGTTGTCCAAATCAAGAATTCGAGAGGCGAAAATTTTTGTTGAAGCTACTACAAGCCACTTGAAGATTTTCTATATTGGAAAGTGATTCTTTTGGAAGATTCTATACGGAAATTCATTTAAATCTTCTTATAAGTTAATCCTCTTATTTATATGAGAGAAAATACAATTATTGGCTCTTATAATTTTATTGAAATTTTTTTTTAGTTTTTGTAATTTTTTTTCAGTGTTTAGGGATTGAAAACAGTAAAAACTAAAGGTGAGTAAAATTGAACAAAATCAATCA